CATCCTAATGGCTCTTTCTCTCTCTTCAGCTGTTAATCGTAGCATATTTCTCTTGTTTATCATATAATGCATTCTAAGCTCTCTTCATACCCTATAGACTCATTCTGCGTCTGAAATGGATGCAAATACTGCTTGAATATTGCTGCGTTTTGGCGATTGATATTGCCATGTGTAAACAGAAAGTGGAAAAATGTTAATCTTAACAAAGATAATTTTAGATGTTCCTGAACATTTTTTTCACAATATCAAAGATACGCCTTACTTGTTTTCACTGATGTAAATGTTTTAAAAGACTGAAATCATAGGAATGATTATTTTACAATTTTACACACTCTACAACAGTACTGTTGTTTCTTGTTTTAATAGCTGAAAAATGGTGCCTTTAAATGGTTTATCTTTGCCCCAAAGCAGAACTTTATTTCAACCTTCCTTTTGGACATCAAAATCACTATTATTGATTTATTTCGGCATGGACGAATATAGGACAATTTAACTCTTCTGAAAAAGATGCATTTCACCTAAATATGAATGCATTTGAGAATTTTGTTTTGTGATTTGCATAAAGCTGTGTTATTAAGCTTTCTTGTAAACTAATATCTTTTAACACATCTTTGATAGTTTTTCAGTAATTCATAAAGGTAAGAGGGTAATGTTTCTTTTGGCGTTTAGTGTACATGATATAGAGTGAGTGAGTGAGTTAATATTTAACGTCACATCGGCAATAGTTCAGCCATATCGTGATACATGATATAGAAGATCCCCCAGATTCTATTAGAGAAATCACTGAATTTATTTTGGATTCCCCCTTAACGAGATTGGAGATCACTCGCAGTCTCGAGGCGCTAAAGAACAACAAATCTCCAGGACTTGATGACATATTGAGTGAATATCTTAAACATTCCTCTCACGTAATCGTTCCATACCTCGAGATAATATTCAACAGTATGTACCAAAAGGGTATATTCCCAGAGACCTGGTCAACAGGAATAATAATCCCTTTTCACAAGAAAGGTGACACTTCTATCCCCGACAACTACAGAGCAATAAGCCTCGTGAGTATTCTCAGTAAAGTCTTCACGTACATCCTGATTCAGCGATTAGTGTGCTGGGCTGATGTACTGAGTAAAATTTCTGAGTGTCAAGCAGGTTTTCGAAAAGGTTATTCAGTGGTTGACAATTGTTTTGTTCTGAATTCTATTATCCAACGTTATCTTTCTCGCAAAGGTGGTAAATTCTATGTAGCTTTTGTTGTTTTCTCGAAAGCTTTTGATTCTGTTCAAAGACATTTTGTTTGGAAGTTATTATATAAAGATGGTCTGAGTCGTAAAATTGGTAAAATGTTCAGTCTATTTATAATAGTGTAAAATCCTGTGTTCGTTCAAAAAGTAGTTGATCTACACACACACACACACACACACACACACACACACATATATATATATATATATATGCGATTTTATTTGTAGCATTTTTAATAAAAACACACATGTCTTTTTTCATTATTAAAGAAACAAACAAATACCATTTCCAACATATTTCAATGGACAATTTAGTTATATATAGACAAATAGCACTATTTTATGCTCAACATTTCAATCAACATTTCTTCATTTAAATGGACAATGTATTTGTAACTTTTGTAATAACAACACAGTACTAGTAGATTCACTGAACGTCTTTTTCATTTGCATTTTAGAAAACACACACATCTTTTTTCAATGGGCAATTTAGCTATAGTTACATAAACAGCACTCTTTTATAGATACTATTTTTAACTGTTTTTGGGGTTTATTGAAATTCAGCATGAACTCATATTTGATCACCATTAGATGTTGAAAAAAACTGTATCTGAACATTGGCGTTTGTCATTTTGACATGTTAACTGAAGATGCCAATGTTTTTATCGCCTCTTTGATTGCTTTTAATCAAAGTCGTCTAATAGATTGAGGAGTAATTCGCAAATTCACCAAAATGGTCGATTTCAAACAAAGCATTATATAAATTGAGTAAATAATCATGTTCCTGATACTCATTAAACACAGTTCATCAAGCTATAGTTTGAGCTGGGGAGCCATGAGCTGCATCCTTAACTGGTGAACACATTTCAGCAACAGAGTAATCCCCAAGCCCTAATCCTGTAACCCCCCGCAAAATATTTTGAGCTAACTGATAACACTACGACATTGCATTCATACTCCTGAACAACCAACCACCTTGTGTACGTGGGTGTGCAGGAAATACATGTCAAGCGGCTGATCTTTTGTAAAGCATTGTAAAACACCTTTCAAATATGATACAATGTAAAGTACAATATTTCGAAGTAGATCGCGTCTAAAATGCACTAGGACAATCCTGTAGCACATGAATCCCACATAAAGACGGTTCTTCAAGAACAACCACCTGCTAATGTCTGTCGCATATTACCTCAGTGAAATATCTCCTTAAGTAATGATTGGGAATGCCTGTCTGGGGCGATAACTGATAAAGTACCCTCGTCAGTTGAGTATCTGACTGAAATAAATCTACCTGTACCAAGTTGTAATGTAGAGTAATTATATATTTCCCATCATTACATGTGTCAATAAGCATCATGTAATATTTTCTGATCAATTTACTCGTTATCATACATCATACAATGTGCATCTGTATTTGTGTTGTTGTGTTTGCTGTTTAACAATCAAAGGTCAAGGATTGGCTGAACACATGTTATTTGTTTAGAGACAAGATAGCTTTGCATAAAAAAGTTATTTTTTAAATGATCTGAGGCCGTAATTTTAATGCAAAGGGGCCCAAAATGGGTTTTATCAGTTCCAATGAAAAAAAACCCAAGAAGTCTGAAATATCAGTGTGCCATAATGACTTATTTACAACTATGAGATTTTATTAACATACAAATAACATCAGTTTTACAACAGGTATTCATGATCAAGAAACATGTCAATATCAATCACAAGGTTTTAACTTCAAGAGGCCCAATTAGGGTTGCAATACATTGTGAACAGTAATTCAATTACTTTCCAATTGTTTACAAAAAACCTCATTGTTCATAACTTTCTTTGCATATATAAACTATAGGTCAATTTTACAACATGCACTTATGATAACCAAGCATGTCGAACTAAAAATCACAGGGGCCCATTTTGGGTCTAATTACATCTTGGGCACAGCTTGGGTTTAACAAGTAAGAGTTAAAATTCAGTATTCCCAACAAGTTGTAGCAAATATGCAGTAAACATCTCATTCACAATATGTTATTACAATAACCAATCATGTTGCACTAAAAATCACAAGTCTTGACCGCAAAGGGGTCCCATTTCGGGTGAAATTAGATTCTTGGCACAGCTTGATTTTAACACCATGTAATGGTTAAAAGTCACTTTTCATCCACATGGTCATCAATCTCAGTTTCTGAATCACTGTCAAGAGCTGCAGCATTCAACAGTGTATCACTGGAAACAGGCATCTTGTCTTGGTGTCTGCCATACCAAGATCTTCTCAACTGAAAAACAAATGACTTTATATCAATAGAAAATTCTGTTTTAAAAAGTTCGATAATCTTATTCAAGGGTAACAATACTTATTTTCAAACCACTAATTAACAGCTCTGGGCAATTTGTAAATATTTACTTAAATAAATTACAATGCTAACATTTTGAAACAATGCTTACCTTCTCCATGTACTTTATTGTGTGGGAACAAAGGCAACGAGACAGAGTGGAACAATCAGTGTCTTTAGGCTTAAAAAGGATTTACATGATCTTAATTTAAGTTTGTTTGAACAGCGTAACATAGCTTACCAAACTTAAGAATTCTTTTATAAAATTTGAATTTCATGTGTACAAGTTAAGTTAAACATTGTAAATTGGCTGACCAATCTTTTGAAAAAAAGGAAAAAGAAATTACCAGGATTTGAACCTGCATGTCTGATGATAGAAAAAATTAACAGGCCATCATTGCAACCACTAAGCTACATATTCTACTATTACCGTTTGCCACTGTAAGCTTATACATTACATCTTGCAACAATGTGTCACTTGGTGTCTGCTTGCGTCCATCATCTGTTAGATCTTGATACAATGTTCTTATTCTAACAGTAAACTTTTCACACAGTTAAGTATAGTCGTTTCGGTTAAATGTAATCTAATATATCCTAGAAAACATCAAGATACATTATTTTTGTTAAAATGTGTATGTTTATATACAGTTACATCCTGTTGAACGACAGTGTTATTTGACAGTGACAGGTGACTCAGAGGTGTTTGATATACAGATGATAAAACAAATATGATAAAATTCTAGATTAATTACAAAGATTCTCACCTTTAGAATGCTGCCTGATCATATTTTGATTTTTTTTCTGATGTCTTCTTACTTTTCCAGCAGAGATCAACAGGGTCTCCAAAAAACTACCCTTGTTTACCTCAAAGTAATCAGCCTTGAGAGTCCCTTCTGATATTGAAAATGTTTTAATAAACTTGTTTGATAAGTTGATTTAGTGCTCTAAAAAATCAAAATAAATAATGAATCATGGTAAGGGCCTTTATCATACCTTGTCCTTTAGGCCAGATAATCTAGTGATTAACATCATGAGCATCGACCTACGAAACTGGGCTAAGATGACATGTGTCAGCCACATCAGCGAGCCTGATCACCCGACTCGGCCGTTAGTCGCCTATTACTATAAGCATAGGTTGCCGAAGACCAATTCTAACCTGGATATTCACGGGCTTTAAGCTCCAGTAGGATAATAATTTGCTTGGAAGTATATACAATAAAACTGAATTGGCCGCTTGTAAGTTCTAAGAAATTATATCGCCTATATAATGTTAAAAATATTAACTGGCTCCAGATTTTGTACACAGAACAGATTTTACTGCAAACAGAATTGCGCTGGCAAGAAACAAAGTGTGTCTTTCATCATTTCAGAGAAGTAACATATGAATCGTTTTCTCCAGTCAACATCCAGAACTACAAGCACTGTATTCCTATCTTTACTTCAGCAAAAAAAATCTGACTGGGAGTTGCATGCAGAAAGAAACGTGGATGGACCACTCAAGGAAATACGTCAGCAGGGACAGGTATGAAATTCCCCTTGCATGATCCAATCATCTCCAAGCAAATGGCGCCAGAATTCGCCGTGCAGAGTTGCCCCCTTTGAAGAGCCAGTTCCCGCGTAACTTTATCACGCTTGTCAGCAACATACACACGTGCACTGCATCATGGGTGATCTCCATCACTTTGTGCGTGCAGGAAACCCGGGTTCGAATCCCGGTCTACTCGTGGCAACATGCATCTATGAAGTAACACTGATGAGGTACAGCAAACCCACTCACTCATCTACAGGTCATATATTCTTGTTTAAAGGCACAATGCCAAACATTTTCGACAATATTGTGGCCCATGTTATATCAGGGATAATCTAAAACATAGTCCCCCTGGTTATATATATTAGGGAATATGCACTCACTTTAGCTTCCTATTGATGTAATTAAGACTTAATATCCATTACGACTTGCCTGAAATCGATAATTGAAACCTGGAAGCGAACAGCTCCCAAACAGAGAACACTTGCCATATATGGAATGTAAACGATTGTTCCCCACATCGAAAACTGTCGCACGCGATGATGTCGGTGTTTGCTGAACTGGTTTCAATCACATAGTTGTGCCTTTGACATTCGTAAAGTACACCCCATGGGACATAACTCTTTGTGGTTCGCCAAAATAATGTTCGGCCGGTAGGAGGCGCGAGAGTCGATTTAATCAAACGTTGTATTAATTCATTCGAATTCATTCGAACCTTCCCTGGGGGCTGGTAGTTCGTATTATTGATAGAAATGCATTATTCATTTGTAGAGAAGTTTGGTGTGATATAGTGCTTGTAACGATACTTTGAACATGTCAGGATTGCGGCGTGTTTGGTTAGTGCAGGAGAATATCCCGGGATAACCTGTGATACAAAGGATAACAGTCAGATCAAACCTTGGATCCTGGCAGAGATAAGGCACGCAACTCTGTAAAGAAAAATATTTCACGTTAAACCATTTCCTCACTGCTCTGTCTGTTACAAACCATATTGTTTTTCATATTGTATATGTGTTATGTAAATTTCATTTAATGTGTGTTATGTTAATTTTTATACTTGAAATAACCTGTTCTGACAAAAATTGCATGAGACGGATGGATACCATTCACATCAAAACTATCACAAATTGAAATGTGACTGAAACCTTACATGTTACAAATCTGGAGACAAGCATAATTTTTTCAAGGACCCACATTCGGAATCCCTACAGGGAGACAAGCACTTGATATGAGGCCCTATGTTGATACACAAAGAAAGTAATTCCCTGTATTTTAGCAATGATAGGTTTCCAACACGTGCATATAACTTCTCGTGGTGACCACGATGGGAAAAAACATGAGTCTTTTTTCTGACCAGTCTGATCCTTTGACTCATTAAAAACTGCTGATTTTGTTGCTCATTTAAAACAAACCCCACTGATTTTAATAGAAAACCATGTCTGTACAAGTATGGCCCTTGAATGCTTAATGTTGAATTTATTGGTAAATGTGAACATTCAAAATGTTATTTTGCGTGATTTACACGATTCAAGATCAATACAGAGTGTAACGACCATGTGACTGTATGACAGCCAGCACTCTCCTCCTCATACCTCCTGTCAGCCTCCTGATCCTCTGAAGGGGCAGTCTACGCCATTCCTCGTGTAAAGCAGCTTCCAAATTGGCCAGGTTCTGTACAGGAGGATCCCTTTGTTGCACACAACGACCAATCATGTCCCAGATATGCTCCAAAGGGTTAAGATCGGGGCTCATGCAATCGTGAGATATGTCAGGGGCTGCTTAATTAAGGTTTTTGTGTGTATATAACGTTATAATTAAATTTTAAATATAAACCTCAAATGGAGACAAACATACGTTGTCAGGGACCTACACTAAATGAAGGAACAGTATTCCCCAGATTTTACCACGTGAGGAAATAAACGTATCATATGACCAACATTTCAAATGAACATACAATGTGGCTGTCAAGTTTGCATTTGTATCGCAGGACATGAACTGATAAAGCACGAACAAATTCATTTTAGAAAAAAACTTCATGGATAACAATTTTCCTTATCCGTGAGTGCGACATGTGGATACAGATCCTTGTACCATTGTCAATCAGGAAGTGGAAGTGATGTAGATATACTGATTGTAACAACGTTAAAGCCTGAGACATAGTTGATTGGGCTTCGTGGAGGAGTTCATCATAAGGGCAGATGGAAAATCAATATCCTTGATGTCGGTTGAAATTTGGGATTTTTGCGCTTGATGTGAATGTGAATGGCTTTGGTGAGTTTTCGTATGGTCAAGTCCGTTTGATTGTTCGCAAGAATGTTGATGTGTGTTCAGTTTTTTTTTGGTGATTGGGGTTTTATTTGATGTGATCAGACATGGCTGTCAGAATTGGTAACGGGAGACTGTTGTTATTTCACTTGGGTGTTACCGATCGGGATGGTTTTCCTACGTATCTCTTCCCACAATCACAGTTTCTTTTATAAATGACTCATTTAGGGGTTTTGCAGTTGCTGAGCTGGAGAATGCGGGGAAGGTGGTATCTAGGCCTGATTGTTGTGTAGAAGACAAAAGACAAAATGGATACTGGTGTTGTTATACCTTGAATTATAAGTAAACTTTCGTTCTTGTCTCGGGATAAATGTATATTTGCCAGCTTCAACCAAATTTAAATTCGAATGATATCGAAATCTTGGTTAAGCTATTTGAATCATATTTACAATTAAAAGACCCGAACAATGGTCTGTTGTCCAAATGTTTTGTTTTCCATGTCTTGTCCCAGTCTGTATCACAGTCACAGAACGATATTATTTCCCCTTCCGCCAGCCCTTACAGTAATGCTTACGCCCTAAAAAAAGCATGTCTAGGTATTCCCAGGTTCAGCGTCTGTTTTAATCTGCAGGAAAACTCACTGCAGGGTTCAGGTTACAGAGTAAACATACCAAACACCCATGGCTTGCACAACCAACATCTTCAGTAACATTTACATCTGCCAATGCTTAATTCGCAAGTGGTGAGGCAATAAGCTGATGAGGCCAAGGGTCCTGTACCATGTTTGTGAAATATATATATATATATAAAGCCCATAATCTAAGCAAGTCTAGCTATGTATGTGTTTAATCCACTGCTTGAAGAAAGGCTCCTTTAGAATTTTATGTGGTAAATATTAGTATTTCACTGTCTCAATGATATTGGAAGACTCATGGCAACCTATGCTTCATTGTAAACCACAAAGGTTATTTCCTTTGAGTTAACTGACGGGCTTTCGGTGTCCAATATGTGGAACTCGAGCCAAAGGTGATGCTATTCTGTCTTGAAATATGGCCATTTTGTAATGCTTTAGATGCCCTTAATGATAACTGATTACGTACATATGATGTTTTTGAACGATAATCTCAGCTGACTCAGATACTTTGCAAATGTTTTTCCCCATTCGTTCCACACCCATAATTCATTTTTTAAGTTCGTGACATGATCTGCACAATGAGAATTTAAAACAGGTTTATAAATAATAATTGTTTGCAATCTTTACCCAATTTAGGTTTCTATTTATTTAGCAATTTCCAGAATCTATTTCCTGGAAATTCTGTACGAAGGTAATTTAATAGTTTCACCCAGTAACAGTAAAGCATACAGATAATTCGTTTTGGTATTTTGACAGATTAATAAGTACAAATTATATTCCATAATATTGGGATGCCAAAATGATTAGCAAAATTATATAATGTATAACAAATCAGACAGCAAAAAGCAAAAGCAAAAATGAAAACGCATGAGCAACAAAAATGCTGTCAGGTAGTAAGCTTTCAATAATTATCGAAACTGCTTAGATATCTCAGTTTATGAACTAATTGCAATCACTAGAATTTGCAAAATAGGTGTACAGTATGTTCCGTCGGTTAACTGAAATTTGGGAAAACGTCCGTATGGGATAATGTCTGTATTCCGCATCAAAAAGAGGTCATGTGTGCATGTGTACACATTTACAACAGTATATTACATCGGGGATCATTAATACATTGTAATCATCTTTTTTTGAAAGTATAGATAATGAAATTTGTGCAGCTAAGATCAGTCGGATAACTCATACAAGTGTGCACTAAAATTAGGGACCTACCGGTTGATGTCTGTGTTATATTGTAATAAGCAGTGTATCCTTGTATGGCATATATAAGAAGTGTACCTAAGGTCAGTTATCTAAACTGTAATGTAATTTCCATTACAAAAAGTATGAACGATATTACCTACTGATCAGAAAGGCTTATCAGTACCCCACCGCCGCCACCCTATCCTAGGCCTACCCCATCCCACACCCTCTCACACACACGCACGCGCGCACGCGCGCGCACGCGCACGCACGCATGCACGCACACACACACACTCCGTAACATATATATCGCTCTTGCCCATGGACCCGATATTTAAACCTTTTAAACAGACGTCACCGTTAATAGCGGTGCGCAGTCATGGGTATCATTTTGCCATGTGTTTCAAATGATCTCAGTCCATTATTGTGTGCTCGGACGCGCTAACGAACACTGTGTGACAGTTATATTACAGAACTATTGAAATACATGTTAAAGTAGTGTCAATCTTGTAACACTCTATTTACACATTACCAAACATTTACGCGTGTACTAAATATATGACAAACCTAATCCTGGTCATACGAGATTTCAAAGGTATTGAAATGCATGTCCTACAATCACAACATTTACATATGTTACACATGTTAGAAAACACATGAAAACAATGGCCAGATTTACACGCCTGTGAAATACATGTAAATACAGAGTTGAGTGTCCATTTATGTTAACACCCCTTTAAACGTGTGTAAATCTGACAGCCAGATGGTACGTAGATTTCGAACGTTTATTCATATGGACGCCGGATGAAACGAATATTTCCTAACGTTAGTGAATTTGGGTAATACAGTCATTTTGTGTGGTGAGAAACACAACAATAAAGGCTGATGTTAAGTTGGCGAACTCTTTGTCTATAGACGTGTAAATTTTCACCTTTTTTACCATAATGATTGGAATTACATGAAATAGTTTTTTTAAGAGTGTGTATAGCTGGAATATTGCTGAGTGCTGCGTTAAACAACAAACAAACAAACAAAGCAAATCCTGCCATTCGACGGCGTCCTGTAAACAAACAAGACAAATAAACATCAAGAGCATCAAGTGAGGCAATACAAAAAAGAAGGATAAATAGATTAAAATATTCTAAGGGCAGTATGTGTTGTCCTGCCTTGAAATCAAACTCAAGTTTGGTTATTTGTCTTAAAAAGTATCTGTATGTTTACCGCATCATGATTTGTTGTATTTATTGGGTATTGCTCAGGTACCCATTGACATCCACAAAAAAGGAATTTTAGTATTAAATGTTAAAGTACAAATCATCAGAAAACACCAAACTGTAATCGTTTATCAACCCACAGATGAAGAGTTCTCATTCTATTTACAACATCAAATCGCGGAAAAGATGGCGCACCGGCAGGAGAGCACCTCTGAACCATTGAACTCGACCAGCCCACAAAGACGGGTAATTGAAACGAAACTCCAGTCCACATCCCTATAACACATATTTATCAAATTGCATCTTTCAAAACAAAAGCGTTGAAAGTCGATAATTCTTTTTACAGCTCCAAGTCACTGAAAGGACTAATGGAACCAAGGTACAACCCTCGGTGACGAACCTGGTGGTAAAGCCAAACATGGTAATTTTAAAAAGTGTCCAGTTATTAATCATAATTTTTTCTATTTAATTTTTGTCATTAGAATAATCCCTCTCGTTTGTACCAAATGTAGATTCACAAGCAACGCGGGGCGGAGGGGTAGCCTAGTGGTTAAAGCGATCACTCGTCACGCCGGGTTCAATTCCCCACATGGGTACAATGTGTGTTCTGTTGCCCCCCGCCGTGATATTGCTGGAATAAAGCGGCACAAAACCAACTTCACTCACTCACAAGCAACGCGGTTTATAACAAAGAGGGGGTTATACTGATGAATAACAATGTTAAGATTAAATACGCTCATGGTTTTTTTGGTTTGTTTTTCTGTTTGCTGTTTAACAGCAATATTCCATCTATAAGGCAGTGGTCTGTAAATAAACAAATCTGGCCCAGACAGTTCAGTGATCAACATCATGAACATCGATCTACGCAATTGGGATACAATGACATTGCGTCAACCAAATCAGCGAGCATGGTCACCCTACCCCGTTACTCGCCACTTACGATAAGCATAGGTTGCCTAAGACCTGGATCTTCACGGGTTACACGATCCAGTAAGATAATAGCTGGCTTGGAAGTATATACGATGAAACTGAATTGGCCGCTTGTAAGGGCCTGAGCAGGTATATCGCCAGAATGATGTTGAAAAATATTAAATGGCTCCAGATTTTACTGCAAAAAAGAAATTGCTGTTGCAAGAAACAAAGTATGCCTTTCATCATTTCAGAGGAGTAACATATGAATCGTTTTCTCCAGTCAACATCCAGAACTACAAGCACTGTATTCCCATCTTTACTTCAGCAAAGAAAATCAGACTGGGAGTTGCATGCAGAAAAAAACATGGATGGACCACTCAAAGAACTACGTCAGCAGGGACAGGTATGAAATTCCCCTTAAATCACGTCCCATCATCACTAAGCAAATGTACGATATTGGGTTATCCGTGCTCTGTACTTATAAGGTGGTGTGGTGGAGAGGTACAGTTCAGTGATTACAGATATTGGGTTATCCGTGCTCTGTACTAATAAGGTAATCTGGTAGAGAGGTACAGTTCGGTGATTACAGATATTGGGCTATCCGTGCTCTGTACTAATAAGGTGATGTGGTAGAGAGGTACAGTTCAGTGATTACAGATATTGGGTTATCCGTGCTCTGTTCTAATAAGGTAATCTGGTAGAGAGGTACAGTTCAGTGATTACAGATATTGGGTTATCTGTGCTCTGTTCTAATAAGGTAATCTGGTAGAGAGGTACAGTTCAGTGATTACAGATATTGGGTTATCTGTGCTTTGTACTAATAAGGTAATCTGGTAGAGAGGTACAGTTCAGTGATTACAGATATTGGGTTATCTGTGTTCTGTACTAATAAGGTAATCTGGTAGAGAGGTACAGTTCAGTGATTACAGATATTGATCCGTGTACTTACAGTATTTATTAAGGTGATGTGGGTTAGAGAGGTACGGTTGTATCTGTGCTCTGTGAATAAGGTACAGTGATTACAGATATTGGGTTATCCGTGCTCTGTATTTATAAGGTGATGTGGTAGAGAGGTACGGTTCAGTGATTACAGATATTGGGTTATCTGTGCTCTGTACTAATAAGGTGATGTGCTCTGTATTTAATAAGGTAGAGAGGTACGGTTCAGTGATTACAGATATTGGGTTATCCGTGCTCTGTCCTAATAAGGTGATGTGGTAGAGTGGTACGGTTCAGTGATTACAGATATTGGGTGATTTGTGCTCTGTACTAATAAGGTGATGTGGTAGAGAGGTACGGTTCAGTGATTACAGATATTGGGTTATCCGTGCTCTGTACTAATAAGGTGATGTGGTAGAGAGGTACGGTTCAGTGATGACAAATATTGGGTTGTCTGTGCTCTGTACTAATAAGCTGATGTGGTAGAGATGTACAGTTCAGTGATGACAGATATTGGGTTATCCGTGCTCTGTACTAATAAGGTGATGTGGTAGAGAGGTACGGTTCAGTGATTACAGATATTGGGTTATCCGTGCTCTGTACTAATAAGGTGATGTGGTAGAGAGGTACGGTTCAGTGATTACAGATATTGGGTTATCCGTGCTCTGTACTAATAAGGTGATGTGGTAGAGAGGTACGGTTCAGTGATTACAGATATTGGGTTATCCGTGCTCTGTACTAATAAGGTGATGTGGTAGAGAGGTACGGTTCAGTGATTACAGATATTGGGTTATCTGTGCTCTGTACTAATAAGGTGATGTGGAAGAGTGGTACGGTTCAGTGATTACAGATATTGGGTTATCTGTGCTATGTTCTAATAAGGATATCTGGTAGAGAGGTACGGTTCAGTGATTACAGATATTCGTTTATTACTCGACCGTGGAAGATACTGCGGTGTAATATTTTTACGGCAATATTACACTAGTGTAATACCGCTAGACATATGACGTCATAATGGTTACAGTTACGACGTCACAATGCTAATACCTCTGTCGCGGTATGTTCTCATTTTGCCTACATCCCAATTCGCCTATAGTCTTAAAACAACATTTGATGGTCTGTTGACTGTTTATTACGCAATGATAAACTAGTGGCATCCCTATGATCTAAAAGTGGACTCTTCAAGTTGAAGTAGTTGAAGGACAAAAAGACATTTTTAAAGAATTTATTTCTGTTTTTTGTCTGTTATTTATTTACTCTGTTATTTGTCCATTTTCCGATCACAATGATATTCACAGACAGCGGCATATGAGGTTACATATATGTTACAATTAAATAATTCACATAGTGTGTGCAGTCGAGTATTTCATATATACAGATGAATAAGTAATGCATTATATATATAGATAGATTGCAAATCTATCTGCAAATAGATTGCATAAAGATAAAAGAAATATTTAGATGGAGTTTTCTTACCAAAGATTCTTAAAAAACATGTTATGATAATATTACTGAATAAACAGTTTTCTAAGAATACCTTTGTTATTGTCATTGAATAATGTATACATTTTATGAAAATTTGGTTTGGAATATAAATATGGCTTTAAATATTTAACTCTCGCATTTATAGAGTGAGAACAAATAAATAAATAGTGAAATTCCTCGCCAATGTCCTTTCCATTACAAAGTTTACATATTCTATCACGTTTCTGAATATTGCAACAGCGGCCAATTTCAATGGGTAAGTTATGATTTGCTGTTTCATAACGTAACAATGCCTTTGAACAATTATCATTTAAAATATCCAAATATTTACTCAACCTTAAATCAAAGTTAGATAAGGAGCTATATAAGACACCTCTTGATGAATGTTCTACCGAAGACAAAAGACAACCACACTTGCTTATGCGTCTCTTGTAGTTTACATTCAAAATGTTGGAAATTCCAGATAAAACTAAGTCCAATTTCGTCAAAAGAATATTTAATATTATTATCCATTTATGCTTACTTTTCCAAAATGTGTGTCGTTAAAAAGTAATTTAGACATGAGTAAGGATAATTTGGAAGATTTACCTAATTAGTGTGGCACTGACCAGTGAGTCAGGTTCATTATAAGCGTAGAGGTGCATTTTCTAATCCAAACTAGCCTACATTGTTTTTGTATGCGAAATGGGATGTAGGCGAATAGAGACTAAACCCTCTGTCGCAATGGTATTAGAGCTTGCTTGACTTGATGAGAGTCATCGAGCTGAAAGCAGTTTCTATCAATTTATGTTGGAGAGTTATAAACACAATTCTAAAGTCGCTTCCGTGAAATACCATTTTCATTGAACTCGTGAAAGATTTAGTATCAAACGAGACTTGACTAGTATCTTTGATCATTATAAATCATTATATGTTTGTTTTTCATTCAGATTGTTCTACCGGAGAAAGCTGCAATAGCGAAAATGACCGTCAGTGAAGCATTTAGAACATTCCACAGGTATAGTATACGTTGTTGAATATAACAACACAATGCACACATTATCAAAAGTCTGTGAACTGTTTTACACATTTTAAATATGCTTCACATTAGTTTGTTTGACGATGGAAGAAATCCCGAATCGACGCGGGTACCCGACGTTTACATCCCAGTATAGAAACAGTATTTCCTAAGTTTGACGACCGCCTCCGTGGTGCAGTGGTTAGAGCGTCCGCCCAGAGAGCGGAAGGTCGCGGTTTCGATCCCCGACCGCGTCATTCCAAAAGAAGTTAAAATATGGTACTTGTTGGTCTCTGCCTGGCGCTCGGCATTAATGGGTACAACAAGGACTGGTCGGCTCGGAGTCAGTATACTGTGTCTGAGTGGGGTATTCATGCTTCACTGCGGCATGGTATCTCAGTGGGCTAGCACTATAAAACCAGCTTCAGTCTGGATTAGCACAAGCAGCCACACACACACATGCATACACGTCGTCATATGAGCGAAATATTCTCAAGCACGACGTTAAACCCAATTTCACCTCACCTCCTAAGTTTGACCATGTGAGGAAATATAGGTATTATCCGAGGCCTATATGACGAACGTTTACAATTCACGGAGACTAAGAACAATAGGAGTAAGGTGTGTAAATACTGTCATTACTTTCACATACATGCATTTCTAACGTCTGAAATATTTGCGAATGTTGTTCATTAGTAAATTTTCAAATGTTTTTTTATGCCTTAGAAACGTATGTATCATTCCGGATATCAAGGGCATGTATTTGAGCAGTTCATAGTAGAAGAAGATCATGGTTAAATGTTGGATAAACAGTATTTTCTGAAATTGAACGATGACAAAACTGAGATTCGCATCATCAGCTCCAAACACACAAAATAAAGGTTCAAGGTCCCTGGAGTTCAAATTAGAGACACGTTTGTTCAACCAGAAAGCAATGCTCGAAATCTAGGTGTCATCTTTGACTCAACATTGAACATGGAAAATCACGTCAGTAACATCTGCAAATCTGCATATTTCCAGCTAAGGAACATCAGACAGATTAGCAGGTACATGGACACACCATCAGTAAAATGCCTAACCCATGCATTTGTGACATCACGCCTAGACTACTGCAATAGTCTACTCTATGGAATACAGCAGAAATACATGGACAAGTTACAGCGTGTTCAAAACACAGCTGCCAAGCTCATAACACGCACACATATGTATCTGCACATAACACCAGTCCTGAAGGACTTACACTGGCTCCCTGTAATAGATGGGATGTGGCTGCCAAAAACCTGATCGATCCGAAATCTTGAAGTTGGCGTATACAATTATGAGTATAAATAGAGTAATAAAATTGTGTCATAATTTCTTATTTGTTTGCGTCTATATATATATATATATTTATAAATATATATATATATATGTTTCTATATAGTTAACTTGTCGTTTACCAAAACCTCAAATTCGATCACATACTAAGCCATCACGAGTTATCTCCCTCCATGACCGTTCAGGAAAAACTATGGCGAAATGCTTTGCGTTTCATCCTGCCAAACAGTGAATGTCGGCATTTAAAGACAAGCAAAATAAACAGATCTTAAATGTAATTAATACGACACACGTTTTTCGACTGACTGAGTTTGGTGTTAACGCCGCTTTTAGCAATATTCCAGCAACATCACCGCGGAGGACACCAGAAATGGGCTCCGCACATTGTACCCATGTGACTGACTGACTGAGTTTGGTGTTAACGCCGCTTTTAGCAATATTCCAGCAACATCACGGCGGGGGACACCAGAAATAGGCTTCGTACATTGTACCCATGTGGGGATTCGAACCCGGGTCTTCGGCGTGACGAGCCAACGATATAACCACTAGGCTATCCCACGGCCCCCCACGGTTTTTTGAAGGGTGTACGGGACTGTAAATGGCGTACTGACAAGGAATTTACAGTCTCCTACATCCTATTAAAACACCGTGTAACTAATATTACATTATTTCATTTGCACGTCATATGATATCAATTACCTCATTACATCACCGCCGTGATCAACTGCTGGCAATATGTGAATGCAGAGCAGGGATGAAATACTCAGCCAACATACCATTTACCTCACTGCGTCACCGCCGTGAGTGCAGTAGTGTTGGGGATTGGTTGAAATCTAACAGTTGGTGATTGCCTCATTACCAACGAACAATCATCGAAAAAAATTGGTTAGCGTCATTTTTCAGATTTTCCTATCCAGGTTGTTATTGCAGATATGTATAACATGATGCAACTTGCTACTTTAAAGTGATGACTAATTAATATATCATGAACATAAACTTCCCGGAGTCTTCAAGAAATATTCAGTCATGACTTTTCAGTTAGCTTTAGGCTGTTGAGGACATGTATATTCGTGTATATTCGTCAATTTTAATGGTTAGTTTACTTCATTCAAGTGTGTTAATCTAAAACAACATAATTCCGATTAATCGAAAATATGTTTTTTTACAATCGATAATTGTTTTTAATCCTTCTTTCGATCGATTTTCGATTATTTTTTATCATTGGAACACCACAACCTAGTGTATATATTGACACACTCGCTGATTCATGACTTTATGAATGCTAATGTCTCACTTTTTTGGCTATTTAGTTACCTTGACAACGTGGATACAATATGCCACCGGAAGCTGCGGATGGGAAAACTGGGAGATGGAGGCTGGGAAATCTGTGACGATGCCAACTACCGTCCAGTAAAGCCATGTATCGTGTACTCTTTTGGGTGAGTAGTCAACTGATTAAAATACGTATTAGTTAACTAAACAGAATACGCATTAGGCTTAGACACAGACGCCGAATACAATATAGTGGGGCCTTGTATCGTGTACTCCTTTGGGCGAGTAGTCAACTGACTGGAATATGTATTAGTTGACTAAACAGAATACGCATTAGGCTTAGACACAGGCATAACACGAAATATTATGGATGTCAACTTCTTGTTTATTCTATACACAACGTTTCTGGGCATTTCCTTGCCCCTTCGTCGGGTGAATACAATCCAGTAGACCCTTGTATCGTGCACTCATTTGGTCGAGTAGTCAACTGACTGGAATACGTATTAATCTAAGACACCTACGCCGAATACAATGTAGTAAAGCCTTGTATCGTGTACTCCTTTTGGCGAATAGTCAACTGACTGGAAAACGTATTAATCTAAGACACCTACGCCGAATACAATGTAGTAAAGCCTTGTATCGTGTACTCCTTTGGGCGAATGGTCAACTGACTGGAAAACGTATTAATCTAAGACACCTACGCCGAATACAATCTAGTAAAGCCTTGTATCGTGTACTCATTTGGGCGAGTAGTCAACTGACTGGAATACGTATTAATCTAAGACACCTACGCCAAATACAATCCAGTAAAGCCTTGTATCGTGTACTCCTTTGGGCGAGTAGTCAACTGACTGGAATACGTATTAATCTAAGACACCTACGCCAAATACAATCCAGTAAAGCCTTGTATCGTGTACTTCTTTGGGTGAGTTATCAACTGACTTGAATACGTATTAATCTAAGACACCTACGCCGAATACAATCCAGTAAAGCCCTGTATCGTGTACTCCTTTGGGCGAGTAGTCAACTGACTTGAATACGTATTAATCTAAGACACCTACGCCGAATACAATCTACAAAGCCTTGTATCGTGCACTCATTTTGGCGAGTAGTCAACTGACTGGAATACGTATTAATCTAAGACACCTACGCCGAATACAATCCAGTAAAGCATTGTATCGTGTACTCATTTGGGCGAATAGTCAACTGACTGGAAAACGTATTAATGTAAGACACCTACGCCGAATACAATCCAGTAAAGCCTTGTATCGTGTACTCATTTGGGTGAGTAGTCAACTGACTGGAATACGTATCAGTCTAAGATACATAAACAAAAACACTAAAATGCCAAGATCCATGCATGTGTTTTAAGCTATGTTAGCGTGATGATGTAACCCTAATTCCATCTCGGGCAATACAGTCTTCTTATTAGCTATGAAAGCCAATGAGGAAACTCAATTTGAATGTGGGGCAATGACGAATATCTTTTTCAAAAGCCAAAAATATGTTCTAACAATATAATATGCAGCGCGGTTCTTTTCAAATCTGTATTATGATTGTGTGAAGGGCCCGTGCATCCTTCACTTTCAATAGGCTGTCAAAAAATGTATCTACCGAAATAAAGACTTTAAAGATATTACGCGAAACTTTTGTTCCTTCATGAATAAATAGTGCCACTTAGAAAGTGATCAAATGGAACTTAAAATAATAATGACTTTCTTTTACTACAGAATCAACAACGATTTTTCATTTGACGATGACACGGCCAAAAACTATGAGTGTGATGTCTCTTCCTTTGATCCGAGGTTTGTATATATGCTTGTTCAGGTCTTCTGGTTTGTAATAATGAGAATGTTTTTTCCAGACTAGATATCATGCTGAAAGCGCAAAATCTGATCCTTATTACCCCGGAAGAGCCTGTTAGACGCCACAAGGTTAATAATAATTATTTCACCGGGTACCCATTTTCTGCTGGGTGAACAGAGGCAATTTTGAACAAACTCACTTGCCTGAGGTGAGACCACATGTATATCATGTGCTTCGTTGTGGGGCAGGACTGAAGTCCTGAGAACTCTCAGGAGTCAAGCTGTCAAACACGGTCACCCATCCATGAACTCTCCACGCCCAGCGTTGCTTAACTACTGCTGATTGTCACCTGAGCTCCGTGTGCAGGACCATACACCACCATGTACTGGTGTTCTTTCGTTCTTTTCTTCGTTCGTTCTTTTGTTCATTCGTTCGATCGTTTGTTCGTTCGTTCTTTTGTTGTTCCTTAAACTGCACATTCAGCAAAATTCCAGTTATATGTCTGAGGCCTAGGTAAGCAAGCCAAACCAGTGGTTGACATCATGGCAGATTACGATGAATCAATCAAGCAGGCCTCACCAGCCGATTCACTAAGTCGCTTCTCACGACAAAAACTGGCTTCTGGGGACCACTGGGGCGGGTGGGTAGCCTAGTGGTTAAAACTTTCGCTCGTCACGCCGAAGACCCGGGTTCGATTCCCCAAATGGGTACAACATGTGAAACCCATTTCTGGTGTCCTCCGCCGTGATATTGCTGGAATATTGCTCAAAGCGACGTAAAACCTTACTCACTCACTCACTCACTATGGGGACCACTATGAAAACCCTGGTGGTGTGAAGCCGAGATCTGGTGTCTTCGCCAATATTGCTGGAATATTGCTAAATGCGGCGTAAAACTATACTCACTTGAAATCTGTGGAAGGAGGCGCCAAAACAAGAATCCCGCAACAGATTTTCTCCTTAGTACGTTAGGCACATTTGTGCAACTAACTGGGGATAGCACGATCTGGATCGGTGCCAAACAATAATATGCGGTTGTAGCTTTCAATTAAATGAAAATGCTGACGGAAAAGTAACAAAACAGCCACTAAATCAAAGAAAAAAATATTGCTTGATTGTCATGCTGATTGTTCAGAATGTAACCGCACATTAAAATATCAGATTGGAACTTCTGAAGGTTTTCCATTTACCCTGCTCACATGCGGGGGACAAATTTCATTGCGTACGCTCAGAAACCGATAGCAGCGCAGCTTGGGTAATTTTGTTTATCTCACATACATGGGTTTCTCGAATAACCGATGTTTTCCGAATGCTTTTGGTACAGGGAGGTATCTCGTTTCGTGCTGCTACGTGTTTTGGTAACGCAATGAATATAAGTGCGCAGGTTTGGAACTGGGTGAAAGAATGTCGGTAAAATGAATCCGTGGTCATCCGATCATCCGATGTACCCTGTGTGTGTCAGTATGTATCCTTATGTACCCTCAGCCGTTAGGCTGACATAGGTACATCACACCACGCGCAACAGCTAATATTACGAATGACATAACTGACGGGTGATGACGTTACCATTTGTATCGATCATTATTGGTGATATTTGGACAAACTGTGTCATAAACATCGTCTATTATCGTTGATGCTGTATTATTGTAATAATAGTAATAATAATCATATTTCAGTATGACCCAGGCATCCTACCAGAGGTCGCCACATGTCCGGTTTTTTAAATCAGGCCTTGACGGAAAAGACCAGAAGAGGAATTCCTGGGATTTACAGACCTTGACGACCATCAAGAAAATGTTGAACCACACCGGGGTCAGTCACACTTTGAATAATCTGAAATATCTTTTACAAATATTTGGAAATTTGTTCCTCATGAAGTAGGAACCTTCCCATACTCTAAACTATGTGTCATTTAGAAAGTGCTCAAGTGTTTCGGAATTACACTTTCTTAGTACAATTGATATAGAGATTTTGCGAGGGATGAGTCCGACCTGAGCTTCGAACCCACAATAACAAACTCTTGACTTGACTTGACTTGGTCACCTCGTTAGTGTAAGCTACTTGAACCTGCACTCTTCCCATCTATATTACCTAGTGATTGGCATACCACCAGGATGATCTATGGGTCAGTTTAAAAACCACATGCAGAAACATCCCAGCAGTAAATAATCGAGCCTGGGTCAGACAATCCAGTGATTAGCACGCCATCAGGATACAGTGACCTGTACTAACAACCAGCCCATTCGGTCACCTCGTTAGTGTAAGTCACTAGGACCTGCACTCTTAATCACAAAAGGTTTCTTGGTCCCTTTGATGGTGTAAAGACACGGCTTTGAACCTACAGACAATCCACAATTTTCACAATATATTGAACATATGTTATATTTGGAATTACACTTTCTCTGTAAAGTACAGACCCTAGTACATATGTGGGTTGAATCCCACCTGAAATATGAACAAATACACTCGGAGTGACGCACCTAAATTGCCTGCTTACAAAATTAACAATCGAACCCACTCAGCCTCCACTTAATAGAAGTTCAGATCGCGTACTTTGTGATTACCGTGTTACTTGTTGTTAACCTGCCTGGCGCTCAGAAAAAGGGACAAATTAAGGGTTTGATCGACACCCTGCCACACTGCAACGTGCTTTCTAATTTGGCTACACAACCAAACACACACAAGTCAGCACTAGCACAACAAGACACAACTACACATGGATGTACTAGCACAACAAGACACAACTACACATGGATGTACTAGCACAACAAGACACAACTACACATTGATGTACTAGTACAACAAGACACAACTACACATGGATGTACTAGCACAACAAGACACAACTACACATGGATGTACTAGCACAACAAGACACAACTACACATGGATGTACTAGCACAACAAGACACAACTACACATGGATGTACTAGCACAACAAGACACAACTACACATGGATGTACTAGTACAACAAGACACAACTATACATGGATGTACTAGCACAACAAGACACAACTATACATGGATGTACTAGCACAACAAGACACAACTACACATGGATGTACAAGCACAACAAGACACAACTACACATGGATGTACTAGCACAACAAGACACAACTACACATGGATGTACTAGCACAACAAGACACAACTATACATGGATGTACTAGTACAACAAGACACAACTACACATGGATGTACTAGCACAACAAGACACAACTACACATGGATGTACAAGCACAACAAGACACAACTACACATGGATGTACTAGCACAACAAGACACAACTACACATGGATGTACTAGCACAACAAGACACAACTACACATGGATGTACTAGTACAACAAGACACAACTACACATGGATGTACTAGCACAACAAGACACAACTATACATGGATGTACTAGCACAACAAGACACGACTACACATGGATGTACTAGCACAACAAGACACAAATATACATGGATGTACTAGCACAACAAGACACAACTACACATGGATGTACTAGCACAACAAGACACAACTACACATGGATGTACTAGCACAACAAGACACAACTACACATGGATGTACTAGCACAACAAGACACAACTACACATGGATGTACTAGCACAACAAGACACAACTACACATGGATGTACTAGCACAACAAGACACAACTACACATGGATGTACTAGCACAACAAGACACAACTACACATGGATGTACAAGCACAACAAGACACAACTACACATGGATGTACTAGCACAACAAGACACAACTACACATGGATGTACTAGCAAAACAAGACACAACTACACATGGATGTACTAGCACAACAAGACACAACTACACATGGATGTACTAGCACAACAAGACACAACTACACATGGATGTACTAGCACAACAAGACACAACTACACATGGATGTACTAGCACAACAAGACACAACTACACATGGATGTACTAGCACAACAAGACACAACTATACATGGATGTACTAGCACAACAAGACACAACTACACATTGATGTACTAGCACAACAAGACACAACTACACATGGATGAACTAGCACAACAAGACACAACTACATATGGATGTACTAGCACAACAAGACACAACTATACATGGATGTACTAGCACAACAAGACACAACTACACATGGATGTACTAGCACAACAAGACACAACTACACATGGATGTACTAGCACAACAAGACACAACTACACATGGATGTACTAGCACAACAAGACACAACTACACATGGATGTACTAGCACAACAAGACACAACTACACATGGATGTACTAGCACAACAAGAGACAACTATACATGGATGTACTAGCACAACAAGACACAACTACACATGGATGTACTAGCACAACAAGACACAACTACACATGGATGTACTAGCACAACAAGACACAACTACACATGGATGTACTAGCACAACAAGACACAACTACACATGGATGTATGTCCCTTTAAGTGAACCATGTTGAACACAACAAACCCGTTCTTCATTTCGGGGCCGATGGGTAGCCAAGTGGGTAAAGCGTCCTCCCGTCACGCCGAACACCCGTGTTCGATTCCCCACTTCATTACTTTGTATTCGGGGCCGGTGGGTAGCCAAGTGGTTAAAGCGTCCTCCCGTCACGCCGAACACCCGGGTTCGATTCCCCACTTCATTCCTTTGTATTCGGGGCCGGTGGGTAGCCAAGTGGTTAAAGCGTCCTCCCGTCACGCCGAACACCCGAGTTCGATTCCCCACATGGGTACAATGTGTGGAGCCAATTTCTGGTGTCCCCCGCCATGATATTGCTGGAATATTGCTGAAAGCGGCGTAAAACTAAACTCACTCGTTCCCTCAACCCAATATTGTCAGATGTGTAATGGTGTCGTTTAATACATAAATGCCTCTTTGTTTCTTTTCCAGAAATACATTGATGTTTTAAAGATGGACATAGAAAATTCAGAATGGCCCTCGCTACCCAACATGTTGTCATTAGGGGAACTGTCGAAAGTCAGACAGTTTCTCGTGGAATACCACGGACATTGTGACAAGAGGGATGACTGCATCAGCAAACTGAGTACAATGAAAGACGTCCATGATGCAGGATTCAGGAAGTTTTATGTCCACAAAAATGATCAATGTAGTATTAATAATCAGTTATTTCCTGTCGTAAGAACAGTTTGCTACGAGATTCATTACGTGAACATCAATCTACAATGAAGTCCATGTTCATCGAGTGAGTGAGTGAGTTTACTTTTTACGCCGCCTTTAACACTAAGTGAAATATTTTATCACTTTTAATTTGTTTGTTTGTTTGTGATTGCGTGTTCTAAAATAAAGTAAAAGCTTAGAATTTTTTTCTGTAAGTAGTTAATACTTTTCAGAACAAAGTGATTTTTAAAAAAAAGAAAAAAAGAAGAAGAATATGGATTTGCAGAAGTATATGTAACATCACTTCCCCAAGACTCCAGAAACTGATCTATTAAGACTAGATGCATTATCAATTCATTCGAGAAGATTTGGATTTTCTGAAGCAGGGGAACACCACAAGTTGTTAAAATGAATTTAAAGGAGAATTCGAGAAAATTGCAATAACTGACTGGGTGAAATATAAAGTCATCAGAAACATGTACCCCAATTTTTCATGCAAAAGTATTTTTATTTATATTTTAAAAGCGAAAACAGTTTCTGTTATCTGAGCTTCGGCCATTATGCACATTCAGCTGGAACGCACGTGACCTTTTCGCTCATGACGTCATTTGTGACTAAAGTCAGCCATATTACCTAAGACCAAGCGATACAGTAATACAAATCGTGTTGTTTCTGTCGGTTTAGTAAATGGCATGATAGTGTTTTGTTTTACCCTGGGATGCACGGCGTCATCGAAAGTTGGATAGAGACACCATTTCTTCCGTTTTCCAAGTAAAGAGACAGATTTAGGTAGGAGAAAGGTTTGGATTCATAGGTGCCAACGTTGGGAGACACACTGGAAGCCAAGCAAGAATGCAGTCCTGTCTTCCGATCATTTCGAGTTGGATACATATGAAGAAGATCCAATTCGCCTTGCACACATAGGATATGAAAATCCAAAATCTAGACTAAAAATGGAAGCAGTATCCACAGGATTCATTTTTCTACATTATTCCATGTTGCAAGTTACCGTCAGTGGTATTTTGTATTCTTTCAAATCAATGCTTGAAAAGGTTTTGCTATAACGTTCGTTCCGGTTCGGAGCCGGACCAGGCTGGAATCTTGTATGGGGACTTGATAATTTATTAAGGAGAATTAGGATCCGTTCTTTTTTCACAAAGAAACAATTCCTTGCAACAGTGTATTTTTTGTAGCAGACAATTTTTATTAAGGTCTATATGGTCTATTTTAAAAAAATAATTTGACATCAAGTGGTACCTCCGTTTGGCTTGGTTCTTCCTCTTAATCATCATCTTCACTGGAAGTTTGTCTTGCAAGACGTAAAATCGGGTCTAACATCCATGTAAGAAAGACACATCATTTACTGCTTCAGAATCCATGGTCACGGACAATTTGTTAGGTAAAATCAAAGAGAAAGCCATCGGCAATAGGCACATATGACGTCAGGTCACGTGATACCCGCCTCTGCTGTCGAAAAATGCTAGTACTTCTTTGTGTGCGATTTTACACTTTTAGTTCAGCTTTAATCACGGAAAGTGACTTTTAGAATGCCTCTACCCCTATGGTTTTTTGTTGCGTATTATTCTCCTTTGGACATCACACATGGTAAAAAATGAATTTAATGTAATTAAAAAATAGGATATAAATACATGTGGGCGTGTACTAATCATGGGATCGAGTATGGAGTTGAGATTAATAATACCATGTGCTGTTTGAGACTGACATCCAATGATCGTCGGAAAAACAAAGCACCTTTCAGCAACTGAGCTGGATATTGGCCCTACACAAATATTACAATAAACAAATATGCGGCAGTTGTATTGTTTGAGTGGCCACTTTGTACTAGTGTGCAATATCAAGTATTTTATTGATACTTTTATAACGTTTAGAACTATTTAAATGTGTCTTGACTTTCTCTAACCTGCTCTAGAAATTATAGATGTACATGTAATGCAAAAGTCTAACTGACGCCTAGAGTTTCCTCGTTTCAATATCACCTTCACTAGATCACATAACACTTGGTATTGACCTTGAATAGTCTAAGACACGCAAAATGACATTTTGAATGTTCACATTCACCAATAAGGTCACAGACTTGTACAGACACGGATTTCTATGAAAGTCAGTGTGTGTTTTTGTATATAATGAGCAATTATCATTATAAAATCCTCATGGATTCCGACCATTTTGTCGTTTTGTATGAGACAACGGGTGATACGGGTCAGAGGAACACCACGAGATGTTTTATGTACGTGTTGAAAACATGTCATTGCAAAAATACAGGGGTTGCTTAATTAAGTTCGAATTCTTTGTGTATACATCCGTAAGGAAATGTGTCTATTTACGTAATTTTATATCACATAACAGTGTCTTTGTTCTAGTGGTGGATGTAGGGAAGCTCGGATGTCTGGCTTGCTTTATCTGCACTAGTATATACAGTAGTGTTGGGAATTGGTTCAAATCTCATAATTGATGATTGGTTCATCACTACCGATCAATCATCGAAAATAATTGGTTAGCGTCATTTATGAAATTTGTTAATGCACATAACAATAAGGAAAAAACATGTAGTTCTGTTAGGTTTTTTTTGGCAAAATTTCACATCTTTAAAGGATGACTAGTATGTTGGGAACATAAATTTCGTGGAATCTTTAAGATAAATTCAATCATGACTTGAAGCGAGCTTGCAGTGCTTGCGAAATGTAACAGACAAAACCAACATGTGAAAAATATTGTTAATGAAAACAAGTGTTCCAGAATTGTTTGTGTTCGATTATGAGAAATTATGATCGATTGCTTGGTCGTTTAGTCACTACGACCAATCTTCGATTATTTCGATTAATCGGACCACCACTAATATACAGTACAACACCGTTGTCAAGAATGTCTGGTTGAGACGAGCTCATGTTCTACACCGTTGTCAAGAATGTCTGGTTGAGACGAGCTCATGTTCTACACCGTTGTCAAGAATGTCTGGTTGAGACGAGCTCATGTTCTACACCGTTGTCAAGAATGTCTGGTTGAGACGAGCTCATGTTCTGGACCAGGATAGTTAGGTCCACATTATTATTATTGTCTCGGACGTGACGAAAAGAGGATACGTCGAACCTTCTCTGGTCCTATGAGTTCGACACAATCAGAATCAATTGCATACGGGTTGTTCGAAATACAGTCACACCCGGTTCTGTCGAAGTTGAGGGAACCTGCGTAAACACTTAGTTTCTATACGTTCGACACAAAGGAAAGATTATGACGAAATATAGAACTCGCAGGGACAATGCTTGTATTGTGACAGAGTCGTAGTTCGTCACGTCAGAGTTCGACACAACGGTGTTTGTTTGCATATATATCTCTCTGGGACATTTCATTTGTTCTTGAAATAAATTATGGGTGTTTTTTTCCATCATCGTTTATGTCTTTTTAATAAGTGTATATGGTAATCCATTCTGCAAGGCTGGATACTTGTTAGTTGGTTAGTTGGTTGTTTAACGGGGCGGTGGGGTAGCCTAATGGTTAAATCGCTGGCTCGTCACGCCGAAGACCCGAGTTCGAATCCCCACATGGGTACAATGTGTGAAGCCCATTTCTGGTGTCCCCCGCCGTGATGTTGCAGGAATATTGCTAAAAGCGGCGTAAAACCAAACTCAGTCAGTCAGTTGTTGTTTAACGCCACACTCAGCGTATGGCTGCGATCTGTAAATCATACAGTCTGGACCAGACAATCCAGTGATCAACAGCATGATCAATGATTTATTCTACCCGGATCTTTAAGGATCTAATTGTATTTTGCGATTGCTAGTAGAAACAAGTAAATTTCAACGACCCGGGAAAAGGTTTCGTTTTTCTGAGAGACACTATTTCATATCACACATCTCTAAAAACACCGCGGGCGACAGTTTTCGAGATACGGAGCAATTGTTTACATTCCATATATGGCAAGCTAATCCACTTTACTAAGTTTCCTGTAGGATACGAGCCTGCTCTGTCTTGTGTTGAAGTTGTACTTAGAGAGTGATATGGACTGAGAGACAGTAAACCTATGTGAGTATAGGACTTGGTGTTGCGTTTATCCTTGAATGTATGTATGCCAGTACATGAATGTAATGTAGACCATAATCAAGAGGTAATGGTGGTAGGGTTTACTAACACCCAAACGCCGGTTATGGCTCGCTGAATTGGTTGACACATGTCATCGTATCCCAGTTGCGTAGATCGATGCTCATGCTATTGATCACTGGATTGTCTGGTCAAGACCTGATTATTTACAGACCGCCGTCATATAGCTGGAATTGTGCCGAGTGCAGCGTAAACCTAAACTCACTCGCTCACTTTTAATGGACTATTTGCTGGTTTTCAACAACAAACACACAAACGTGCAAAATTTACAAACAGTATTAGCCGTGAAGAGTGAGTGAGTGAGTATGGTTTTACGCCGCTTTTTTTAGCAATATTCCAGCAATATCAAGGCAGAGCACACCAGAAATGGGCCTAACCGTTAATATCCGGGTTAGAATTAATCCTCAGTAACCCATGCTTGTCTCCTCCCCGTGAAGATCCAGGTTAGAATTGATCTTCAGTAACCCGTGCTTGTCGTAAAAGGCGACTAACGGGATCGGGTGGTTAGGCTCGCTGACTTGGTTGACACATTTTATCGTATCCCAATTGCGTTGATCAATGCTCATGATGTTGATCACTGGATTCTCTGATCAATACTCGATTACTTACATACCGCCACCATATAGCTAAGATATATCTGAGTGCGGCGTAAACCAACAAACTTTTATATCCACCCACTCACTCACCCATGTCTTCTATTCCTTGGGATTAGAGAAATAATTCGACTTAACCCGGGTTCGATATATACAATTCCAATAATAACGTGGCACTTCTATCAATGTAATTGAAAACACAAACCATGCCTATCCCTTTGCAAATTAACAAAAACATCAAACAATTCAGTTTTTAATCAGCACTGAGCATACATGTTAACAATAACACAATACATGTTGACAATAACACAATACATGTTCGTGAGTGAGTTTAGTTTTACGTCGCTTTTAGCAATATTCTAGTAATATCACGGCGGGGGACACCAGAAATGGGCTTCACACATTGTACCCATGTGGGGAATCGAACCCAGGTCTTCGGCGTGACGAGCGAACGCTTTAACCACTAGGCTACCCCACCGCCCCACAATACATCCTTAATGATGACGATGTTCTGACAAACAAAGCCCGGGCTACCTGGGAAACCACAGGATCATGTTTTTTGCAAACCAAGATGATTTGCCAAAAAAGCATTTAGCGTGTGACATTCTTGGCATAGGTCATTATATATGTACTTCAAGACAGTTCTGATAGTGATCTCAGGTAATGTCTAAGTGAAATAATCTGAACTATGGACAACCCAGGAGCAATGAAAATACTGATACGGCCCAAAACCTGTTTGTCTGAAAATCCCGAGATCTGTTAATACTCACATACGGTTGATGTTCACGTAATGAATCTCATAGCAAAGTGTCCTCACGACAGGAAAGAAATTATTTGTAAAGCCACAGTGATGATTTTTGTGGACATAAAATTTCCTGAATCCTGCATCATGGACGTCTTTCAATATTTTCAGTCTGTTGATGCAGTCATTCCTTTCGCTACAAGATCCGTGATATTCCACGAGAAACTGTCTGACTTTGGACAGTTCGCCTGATGACACCATGTTGGGGATTGAAGGCCATTCTGAACTTTCCACATCCATCTTCAAGACATCAATGACTCTCTGAAAAACAAAAGGAATTCTTTTACAGGATGAGAGAGAGAGAGGGAGAGAGAGAGAGAGAGAGAGAGAGAGAGAGAGAGAGAGAGAGAGAGAGAGAGAGAGAGAGAGAGAGAGAGAGAGAGAGAGGAGAGAGAGAGAGAGAGAGAGAGAGAGAGAGAGAGAGAGAGAGAGAGAGAGAGAGAGAGAGAGAGAGAGAGAGAGAGAGAGAGAGAGAGAGAGAGAGAGAGAGAGAGAGAGAGAGAGAGAGAGAGAGAGAGAGAGAGAGAGAGAGAGAGAGAGAGAGAGAGAGAGAGAGAGAGAGAGAGAGAGAGAGAGAGAGTCAGTTAGTTTCAGTAGTGATGAGTGCAGTGTGTGTTAAACAACAAACAGATCATACCTTGAGGGTCAAATAGTCTGATTTCCAGGAAGGAAACATCGGGAAAACCAGGATATTAACGGGAGCAGTGACATGACTAACAGGTACTATAAATGGGGCCACGAAGGCATTCACCGGAGCAGTGACATGTCAAAATATGTGAAATATAAAATGTCAATATATGTTTGTGTCACTTACCCCGGTGTGGTTCAACATTAGCTTCATACTCGTCAATGTCCGCATGTCCCAAGCTGCCCTTTTGTAGTCCCTTCCATCAATGCCTATCCTCAAAAACCGGACACGCGGCGACCTCTGGTAACTGGCCTGGTTCATACTGAAATATGATTATTATCACTATCGTCATTACTAGTATTATAGTCAGGCAGTCTTCCTACGTAAATGCCAAGTAGAAAATGAGTGAGTGAGTGAGTTTAGATTTACGTCGCACTCAGCAATATTATAGCTATATGGCGACGGTCTGTAAATATTTGAGTCTGGACCACACAATCCAGTGATCAACAGCATCAGCATCGATCAACGCAATTGGGATACGATAAAATGTGTCAACCAAGTCAGCGAGCCTGACCACCCGATCCCGTTAGTCGCCTTTTACGACAAGCACAGGTTACTGAAGATCAATTCTAACCCGGATCTTCACGGGGAGGAGACAAGCATGGGTTACTGAAGGTCAGTTCTAACCCGGATCTTCACGGGTGGGCTGTCTTGGAACTTTACATGGCAAGTATCTTTACCGGCTGACTTTTCCCGCACACCTCCAATCATGATCAATACGAAAACGAAGACGATCTATGCGCGCGCACGCAAGCACGCACCCACGCACGCACACACACACCGTGATATTGCTTGAATATTGACAAAAGCGACATAGAAGTAAACTAAACTGAGTTTCATTTCACGGAAACGAAGCCCTTTACTAACACACTTGTTTGTGTAACATGTCAGGTCTTTGATGTTGCTGATGTTTTCTACAAGCATTTTCTGACGCAAACTAAACATTCACAGAAAATCAAAACTGTAGGGCATGTGTACAAATATTTTCCAAAATTGACTCTCAAATGTCTTAAAACTGTTTCATAGATTCGGTGGTCGAATCAAAAATATAAATAACTTTGCAGAACAAGATTCTATCGAGGATGGGATTGGAACTTGTCACACAGCCCTAGCACAGCTGACATGCACAGGCAAAGGGTTCTCATTCATCCAGAAACAGTCTGCTTATTCCGTATGGTTTACGGTTCGAACCCAATAGATGCTATTCGTCAGAGACGATTTGGGTATTGGATGGACAAGCTCGATGACTCTGGCATGGACTATGGGCAAAAATATCCAGACTCCCGGATGTGCAGACTCCAGACTCCAGGGTGTCCAGACTCCCGGATGTCCAGACTCCAGACTCCCGGATGTCCAGACTCCCGGATGTCCAGACTCCCGGATGTCCAGACTCCAGGATGTCCAGACTCCAGGATGTCCAGACTCCAGGATGTCCAGACTCCAGGATGTCCAGACTCCAGATTCAAGGGTGTCAAGACTCCAGACTCCCGGGTGACCAGACTCCAGACTCCAGGATGTCCAGACTCCACACTCCAGGATGTCCAGACTCCAAGGTGTCCAAACTCCCGGATGTCCAGACCCCAGGGTCTCCAGATTTCAGGGTGTCAAGACTCCAGACTCCCGGATGTTCAGACTCCAGACTCCAGGATGTCTAAATTATACTATTCACACTTTACTACGGATCAAGTCATGGATTCAACAGAAAAATATTATGTGGGGTCAAATTTGGTTTTAATGCCTATAAGCATATATCCTAGGTTTCAGTATGTCACTGCATCTTGTGGATCCTATATCTGCTATTGACATGTGTTGTTTATTTGTCAATGACTCATTCCATGATTTTCAAAATGGTTGATTAGTGCCACGAAAACCATTTTCATGGTTACTCATGTATCAAGTACATAAGGTTAGATTAAAGTGACTATTTTGACTGATGAGGGGTTACCATATTATTATTTATCCACTTTTAAATGGATTCAATTTCAAATTATAAGCTACATTTAAGTAAAGTTGTGAATTTTTGTGATCCTTAGCAAAGTGTGAGTAGCATATTAACATCTGCCAGATAACAACATATTGTTGATATGCGTCCGAACAAATAAACACACAACCGACCTGCACAAACGTATATACAAACCTTGGATCAAAGGCAAAAACATTGCACTCATAATTTTTGGCCGTGTCATCGTCAAAGGAAAAATCGTTGTTGATTCTGTGGAATAAAAGGCATTGCATATGAAAGTGTGTTATGACAAAACCAATTAGGAACAAGAGTGAGTGAGTTTAGTTTTATGCTGCACTCAGCAATATTCAAGCTATATGGCGGCTTGGGAACAAGAAGATAGGAGTACGCATATATATTGTATATTTTCTTCATGTTTCATTTGAGGCGAATCTGCAAATATTGATGTACAATACTGGATAGAATTGAGAAAATATCCTAAAGTGCGATGAAAACTTTTCCATCTGTGTATTTATGTTATATTGACAGAATTCTTATTTTTGGCCTATGCATTCTTTTTTTTTTGAAGGGTGTAATAATGTGCAAAAAGGTATATAAAGTGCATGAATGGCTCTCAATAGGTTTTCACAAAATGCAGAATAAGCTCCTTTGTACACAATGAGAGAAAGTGAAGAGTCTAAACAGGCGATATACAACTATGTATTTGGCAGTGACGTTATGCTGAGTCAGCACCGCACCAGGATGTGGCGCAACACCACGTGGATACGGAGTTAAAGATATGGTCCCACTTGTGCAAAGCGATCTTAACGATAGGTGAGTGAGTGAGTGAGCGAATTTAGTTTGACGACGCCTTTAGCAATATTCCAGCAATATCACGACAGGGGGACACCAGAAATGGGCTTCACACAGTATACCCATGTGGGGATTCGAACCCGGGTCTTCGGCGTCACGAACGAGCGCTTTAACCACTAGGCTACCCCACCTCCCCTCTTAACGCTAACTCCCATACTCTAACATGCACTTGAGATGGTACATGACTTGTGAGAATATGTTCAAAGGTGTTGCGCTGGGAGAACATATATATGTTCGTTTTATAGTTTGAAACCCTACTTTTCTTCGATTTTAACATCCCGTGAAGGTCCGGGTTAGAATATTGATCTTCAGCAACCCATGCTTGTCGTAAGAGGCGACTAACGGGATCGGGTGGTCTGGCTCCCTGCCTTGTTTGACACATGTCATCGTATCCCAATTGCGCTCGATTATTTACACACTGCCGCCATATAGCTGGATTGTTGCTGAGTGCGGCGTAAAACATAACTCACTCATTTTCTCCTTGGCATTTATAAAGGTGTCTCCATACCATTCTCCTTCTTGGACTAATACGTGTTCCAGTTAATTGACTACTCACCCAAACGAGTACACGATACAATTCTTTACTGGGCGGTAACCAGGGTCGTCACAGATCTCCCAGCCACCATCCCCCAGTTTGCCCATGCGCAGCTTCCGGTTGCACAACGTATCTGTGTTGTCAAGGTAACTGAACAGCAAGAAAAAATACACATTTTTAATCATATAATAATTATGTATAGTGTATCATATCACGATTTTTTATGGGCATGTTTCCCATAGGGATTTGAACAATCTAACAGATCTCGTAAGAGACAACCAATTGACATTAATGACGGCGTGGTTTATTTGGTCAAGAAAATTTGCATTCCACCGTCAGGTATATTGAATTCTACCATGGCTACGTAAAATGGTCGATTTTGATTGGTCAATCAGTAAAATGAGACGCTATCAATTTTGGATTGAAAATTCGTCTGATTTCATGACAGCTTCACTGCGCACGTATACAACACTGCCGCATCAGCTTGACCACCAACATGGCTCATATCAACACAACAGACGTGATGGAAATGCTGATAAAACATCTATTAAAACTCGAAAAATACAATTATTACATGATGTTTCCTCCACAATTATTAGGGAACCTCACTGTCATATTACCTTCTATAATAAACATATTCAAACTCAATTACAATACACAGCCCCAAACATAAACAAACAATATCTAACATGTAAATCAGAAAGCCTTGTAAATTTCATCCCTATCTATACAAAATGTGCAGCAAATCCTTACTAATCATTTACCTACCTGGTAAAGGGTATATTTGTTTCCGTTTAGAATCATAAGAATGGGAAATTCGCAAGATAACGGTCAGGCGAAACACACAATTTATGCCACTCACAATGCGTAATGTTGTACATATTTATAATAGTCATAACACGTTATTTCTGAATAATAACAATATTGGATATCAACAAATTATCTTGGTTTTGTTTCGTGGCCAGTTGATACAAATAGGAAATAAACAGAAAATACAAACACTTTTATATATCAAATCGTTTTGATGTAATAATGAATTGATGGACTGACCGTAGAATATCCATATTCGTCTGATGTGATACTGAGTTATTACCATTTAGCACACCCCGAGGGGAGAAACCTTTTACATAGAAATAAGATTCCTATGTAGTAGTAGTAGCTTTCGTAGTTGTCGCCGGCACTAAACTTTTGACCCAGACTGACCTACAATTGCTCACCTGTGGTACGTTCTGAACGCTTCACTGACGGTCATCTTCGCGATGCCATCCTTATCCGGTAGAACGATCTACAACATGGAAATGAATGTAATAACGCACAACACATACAGTGAGCTCCCTCGACATGGCACGGGACCGGTGAAAACTGTCGGTTTAGAGGGTTGTCGGATTAGAGGAGGTATTAGGCACTCAATCCAAAATTAAACCACACAGACAAAACTAAACAAACAGAAATGATCTCAATGTCAGTGTCAATGTCAATGAATCATAACAAGCACTTGACAGGTGAATTCACCAATCTATGAATCCATTGAACAAATAATTAGCAAGTAATGAGGTTGAAGTGTCGTAAAAGGATTGTCCCTTTGTCATTGCATAATAGTATTATAGTACATTGCAGACAACTGGAATTCTGTTGCTTCAATTGTATTGTTTTAATGTCTGGCTAGCATTGTTTATGACTACCAGCGGCTGAAGTGATGGTGTAAATCCTGCTGGTGATTCATGCAGACAGCTGAAGTACTGTAAGTCCCCATGAACCCCAGTAAGGTGGCCTAGCTTTGGTTGTTGGTAGTCCATAGCCTATATTTTAATGTTAATATATGTCACATCGAGTTGCATTTTTAGAATTGGAGATGATTAGTTTTTAGACTTGCATTCTGTGATACGTTGCTAAAGTTGTACTGTCCTTCCTGACATATATTTATCATAAACTAACTTTGTTCCTGTCACTATATGGCTGACATATTGCCGGTGTGACGTTAAATTGTAACTCACTCACACTCTTCTCGCCCAAGCGCGTTGAATTGTTAAATGCACACCATGAGTTGGCTAATGCAATTACACTGTCGGTTTAGAAAGTGTCAATTTTCACTAAAAACATGATTGGGGACCGGATTTGAGTGTCGGAATTCGAACTAAACAGACCGATGTCTGATTAGAGGGAGTTTGTTATATGATATTATACAGGGACAACTTGGGGACCAAATAAACAATATGCTAACCAGGATTTAAACCCAGGATGACTGGTTCCTGGCACGTCCAAGGGAAGTTACTCAGGACCACCCTTAAAATGAAATGATGCAATGTGGAGATTCATACCTGTCCCTGCTGGCGGATTTGCTTGAGTGGTCCAGCATTATTTGTTTCAGAATGAAGAACCCAAGATGGTGATCGGTTCTGAAAGAAAGAACGAGTTTATATGTTGAAGAGTCAAAATATAGATATATATTGGACAGAGATACATTTTATGTCACTATTTCTTGAGGATCTGGGCCACGATCCACAAAATGAGTGAGTTTGTTTTACGCCGCACTCAGCAATATTCCAGCTGTATGGCGGCGGTCTGTAAATAATCGAGTCTGGACCAAACAATCCAGTGATCAACAGCATGAACACCGATCTACGCAATTGGGATATCATGAAATGTGCCAACCAAGTAAGCGAGCCTGACCACCCGATCCCGTTAGTCGCCTCTTAACAAACTTGTTCTTCTCATCCGAATCTAAACAAATATTGGAACATACGAAACCCAAGCAGGTTCTAAAAACAATATCTCAAAGAATGGTGCCAGTTAGATTGTCAGGCAAATTACTGCAAAGAGGGTTAAAATTTGGTAACATAACACACAACGCAATACAAGATTCCTCATTTCCAATTATACTGTCACTGAATTTAAGTTTACGCCTCGTTTAGCAATATTCCAGCAACATCACGGCGGGGGTTCCAGAAATGGGCTTCACACATTGTACCCATGTAGGAATAGAACCTGGGTCTTCGGTGTGACGAGCAAACGGTTTAACCACACGGCTACCCAACCGCATAAGTACTGTCAATAACTTGATCAAAGTCAATATGAAAAGTCTGTTAATATAAAGAAGGCCTGGGGCTCCTTTCACAAAGCACCCTTTAGTCATGTTAACCTTAACGTCCTGTCTTTAACACTGCACTCAGGTTACCTTAGTGACTTACGATCACCTTAGTGCTTTGTGAAAGGAGGCCCTGGTGGTTAAAGCCGACCAGTCACCATTGTTCACCTAAAATTGGTTTTCACGCGTCGAATGCCACTAAATGATCACTCGGCAACAGGCATTGTGACAAGTGTTTGGACCACAACATGGATATTATTTTCAGATCTTCCGTTGCAAAGTCCAATGTTTTACAAAGCACGAGGTCTTCTTATCTGCAGGAGACCGCCTCCGTGGTGTAGTGGTTAGAGCGTCCGCCCGGAGAGCGGGAGGTCGCAGGTTCGATCCCCGGCCGCGTCATACCAAAAGACGTTAAAATATGGTACTATGGTACTTGTTGGTCCCTGCCTGGCGGCTCGGCATTAATGGGTACAACAAGGACTGGTTGGCTCGGGGTCAGTATAATGTGTCTGAGTGGGGTATTCATGCTTCACTGCGGCATGTTATCTCAGTGGGCTAGCACTATAAAACCACCTTCAGTCTGGCCTAGTACAAGCAGCCCACGTACACATACACACGCATGCACGTCGTCATATGAGCGAAATATTCTCAAGCACGACGTTAAACCCAATTTCACCTCACCTCACCTGCAGGGGCGTCATGTTGACTTGCTTTATATATACTGATATAAACGGGGACGGTGGGATTGCTCCATTAGTCGCCTACTGCGACAAGCATGGGTTGCTGGAGACCAATTCTAACCCAGATGTTCACGGGTTGAATAACAACAAGACCAATGATGAAATCAAACGATTGAATAGAACATAGGGATATAACTCCCGACACATCATACTGTTCAGGGTCAGTCAGACGCTTGACTTTTTGAACGGCGTCAGCGTCTTTACTTTGAGAAATAGGATTCACCTGATGAAGGAGTAGAAATATACTCTGAAACGTCGTAAGTAAAGAGTGAGTGAGTGAGTTGAGTTTTACGCCGCATTCAGCAATATTCCACTTATATGGCGGCGGTCCGTAAATAATCGAGTCTGGACCAGACAATCCACAGCATGAGCATCGATCTACACAATTGGGAACCAATGACATGTGTCAACCAAGTCAGCGAGCCTGATCACGCGATCCCGTTAGTCGCCTCTTACGACAAGCATGGGTTACTGAAGGCAAATATTCTAATCCGGACCTTCACGTGTCTCAAAGTAAAGAGTTTACATACATAAATAATTATTAAGACATCACACGATGTATAAATGATTGTGAAGGGGTTAGTGTATGTATAAATGATTGTGAAGGGGTTAATGTAATGTATGAATGATTGTGAAGGGGTTAGTGTCATATGTGAATAATTGTGAAGGGGTTAATGTAACATGTGAATGATTGTGAAGGGGTTAATGTAATGTATAAATGATTGTGGAAGGGTTAGTGTAATATATGAATGGTTGAGGAGGGGTTAAAATAATATGTGAATAGTTTTGAAGGGTTAATGTAATACGTGAAGGATGTGGAGGGGTTAATGTAATATATGAATAATTGTGAAAGGGTTGGTGTAATATGTGAATGATTGTGAAGGGGTTAATGTAATATGTGAATGATTGTGAAGGGGTTAATGTAATATATGAATGATTGTGAAGGGGTTAGTATAATATGTGAATGATTGTGAAAGGGTTAGTGTAATATGTGAATGATTGTGAAGGGGTTAATGTAATATATGAATGATTGTGAAGGGGTAAGTGTAATATGTGAATGATTGTGAAGTGGTAAGTGTGATATATGAATGCTTGTGAAGGGGTTAATGTAATATATGAATGATTGTGAAGGGGTTAGTGTAATATGTGAATGACTGTGAAGGGGTAAGTGTAATATGTGAATGATTGTGAAAGAGTTAATGTAATATATGAATGATTGTGAAGGGGTTAGTGTAATACGTGAATGATTGTGAAAGGGTTGGTGTATTATGTGAATGATTGTGAAGGGGTTATTGTAATGTATAAATGATTGTGAAGGGGTTAATGTAATATATGAATGATTGTGAGGGGTTATTGTAATATATAAATGATTGTGAAAGGGTTAATATAATATATGAATGATTGAGAGGGGGTTAATGTAATACATGAATGATTGTGAAGGGGTTATTGTAATATGTGAATGATTGTGAAGGGGTTAATGTAATATGTGAATGATTGTGAAGGGGTTAATGTAATATGTGAGTGATTGTGAAGGGGTTGTGTTATGCCTAATTAATTGCAAAGGGGTTAATGTAATATATGAATGATTGTGAGGTCTTTTTGTTATGTCTAATTGATTGTAAAGGGGTTAATGTGATGTCTGAAGTATTGTGAAGGGGTAACGGGTTAATGTAAATCCCGAGTGATTGTGAAGCTTTTATGTGCCTAAAGCCCTGATACCCGTTAAAGTCCGGGTTAGAATTGGTCTTCAGTAACCCATGCTTTTCGTAAGAGGCAACTACGAGTAACGGGATCGGGTGGTCAGGCTCGCTGGCTTGGCTGACACATGCCATCATATCCCAATTGCGTAGATTGATGCTCATCACTGGATTGTCTGGTCCAGACTCCATTATTTACAGACCGCCGACATATAGCTCGAATATTACTGAGTGCGGCGTAAAACTAAACTCACTCGCTCACTCGCGTAAACCCTGATGATGCATTAAACTTTTCATTTGAATGAATCGCTCTTTCTAGGGGCTTTAGATACAGGGTCATGAAATATGTTCCGAAACTAAACTTCAAAACAAAACGGAATGACTTGTCTCATTCACCAAACTTGAACGTTTGTTTACTGCAGCCACTGACGCTAGCTAGGACTCCAGGCAGTGTATCGTTTGGCAGTTCATAACTGTGAGTTGACATTATATCATGACCAGGATCCGGTTACAGCATTACGTCGTTAACTGATAGCAACGTTAAACCCAAATGATGGATTACATTTTTTATTTTAATGAATCGCCCGGAGACATGAAATATGGCCGGGCATGTGTTGCTTCACATTACTCTGGCTGTCAAGCGTACCACCTGGCCATCTCGCCACGAAGTTAGTACACAACGTGTCAAAACGATCAATTTTAGTACAATTACATATTGTCATTGCATCTGGTGTTTACAGCAACCGCTGCAAATATTGCTAGACAATACAGCCTTCCTTTTTTTCAATCTTTGAAGGTGGAAGTATTTAAATATTTTTCCCGTGACGATGATATTGAAAGGATGTATTTACCATGTATTGAGTTGCGCAGTTCTTGACAAAGAGCAACAATGCTATTGTCGACAAATGCGCAATGGACATAAAAAAAATATAAGAATTTGTTATCCATAAACGATGCTCAATCGTTACAGTACCACATGTTGCCGTACATATATTTTTCCTTACGTCGATTTCGAGCTTACAGCTCTAAATGTACAACGTTAACATTACTGAGAGGATCCCTTTTTCTATACAGCTTCATCAGAGGCGTGATTGAACTGGAATCCAGATCTTGTTCTTTTATCCAAAACGCACACGGTATAAAATCAATATACTGATGGATGCTTTCAGATCGCGTGTCTGTGACAATCAGAATTTCATTGAGAAAAGTGATATTCTCGTTGACATACAAATTAGCCTGCCATTGTCTTGATCATTTGTGTCATAAATACATTTATTACCTACGGGGGTGAAATGTCGGGGTTAATATTTTTCATACGATGCCTGAGGGCAAAATATCACTTTGTCATGGAGACTTGACGTCATGAACAATTTTCTTTACGTGTCTTCTATGACGTTGCCTTCAACATACGGAGGCGGCAGGTAGCCAGCCTATGTTTGCAAATAGGTTTGTACTTATTTATTCCTCAATTTGCCGACTTCGGTAACAAACAGAATATTACATTCGTGCCCATATCATACTATGTTTAAGACACTCGTGCCTAAATATCGGTACATCATATAATTAGCACTCATATAATATCCTCTATAGAGGTTATTATAGAGGATATTATATTCGTGCCCTTATCATACTATGTTTACGACACTCGTGCCTAAATATCGGTACATCATATAATTAGCACTCATATAATATCCTCTATAGAGATTATTATAGAGGATATTATATTCGTGCCCATATCATACTATGTTTACGACACTCGTGCCTAAATATCGGTACATCATATAATTAGCACTCATATAATATCCTCTATAGAGGTTATTATAGAGGATATTATATAAGTGCCCATGTCATACTATGTTTACGACACGAGTGCCTAAATGTTGGTATTTCTCGAGTGAGAGAGAGGCATATACCGATATTTAGGCACGAGTGTCGTAAACAGTATGATATGGGCACGAATATGATATTATGTTTGTTACCGAAGTCGGCAAATCCAGAGATCAACAGCATGAGCATCTATCTGCGCAATTGTAGCTCTCAAGTTCTGTTGAAGATAATGAACGGCCGTTGAGTTGTACTCCGGAAACACAATCCTCCCTATATAAGACCAAGTACAAACTGTTTCCAAGGAAATAGAGAAAACAAAATGTCCCAAATCCCTGATTATACTAACCGATACTTTTCAACTCCCTGGGGATCATACAGCCATGCTGCCTGTTAGGCGCAATGAATTATCATTATTAATCTAGAACAATTTATACATTGAAATGTCTATAAGTCTTTGTCAGGCAATAAAAACTGCATGCAACACAGCGATTACTACTCCCTTTCTGTAACCAGTGTTTGGTGGTATAAACCTACATACTAGTTGTCATCATACACTTGATGGTCAGTTAATGAATTTATAACAAGCATAATTAGTGGTAACATCACTCAGACTACCCGTAAAAGGTCCCCGTTTGGCATTTCTCGTGTCTGGGGTAAATACTCAACATTATTACTTAAGTTCTTTGAGAGGTATTTTAGAAGGTGTATAGGTGAAGGAAAACCAAGTTCTATGGATAATCAACTTCTTTATTGCAATGAGTCCGACGTTTCGTTGCTTGGTAACGGTGTTAGTACCTACACCATGCTTGATAACGGTGTTAGTACCTACACCATGCTTGATAACGGTGTTAGTACCTACACCATGCTTGATAACGGTGTTAGTACTTACACCATGCTTGATAACGGTGTTAGTACCTACACCATGCTTGATAACGCTGTTTGTACCTACACCATGCTTGATAGCGGTGTTAGTGCCTACACCATGCTTGATAACGCTGTTAGTACCTACACCATGCTTGATAACGGTGTTAGTACCTACACCATGCTTGATAACGGTGTTAGTACCTACACCATGCTTGATAGCGGTGTTAGTGCCTACACCATGCTTGATAACGCTGTTAGTACCTACACCATGCTTGATAACGGTGTTAGTACCTACACCATGCTTGATAACGCTGTTAGTACCTACACCATGCTTGATAACGCTGTTAGTACCTACACCATGCTTGATAGCGGTGTTAGTGCCTACACCATGCTTGATAACGGTGTTAGTACCTACACCATGCTTGATAACGGTGTTAGTACCTACACCATGCTTGATAACGGTGTTAGTGCCTACACCATGCTTGATAACGGTGTTAGTACCTACACCATGCTTGATAACGGTGTTAGTACCTACACCATGCTTGATAACGGTGTTAGTACCTACACCATGCTTGATAACGGTGTTTGTACCTACACCGAAACGTCGCACCTGTTGCAATAAACAAGTTGACTATCCATAGAACTTGCAATTGGCTTTCCTTCATTATTGATTAAGGTCTTAAGGTCTGATGTGGCAATTGTATTACATCTTATGTAATATGCGCATGGAAGTGCAGCAAGAGGGATTATCAGCTGACTTACAAAAACAAACATCGATCTAAGGATTAACCAATAACGCGCTGATTGATTAATTGCTTTTATCTTGCACATTGGATTTGTCAAAAGGTAGTGTTTATGTATGTAGTTTTACTAATCTATACTGAATACACCCTGTCGCAAAGTGTCTGTGTAAAAACAACGTCCTCCCTTCAAAGGATTAACCGCCAATACATTGATTGATTGCTCATTACTGGCTAAATAATTACTTTGTTAAAGAATAGCGGACATCATGCAATTATATAATTAGTTGTCAGGTGTGCTATCTTGGGTGACCATCAGACTCTACACCAATGTGAAAAACCTGAAACGGTATATCACTTTTTCGCATATTAGACCGTTAAAAGACACATGACATGGAGCAGGATTCTTCGTCAGCTGAAAGTGCATGGCATGTCGTTCCTTTATGTGGATATTGACGGATACATTCCCCGAACAAGGTAATGGCATGTCGTTCCTTTATGTGGATATTGATGGATACATTCCCCGAACAAGGTAATGGCATGTCGTTCCTTTATGTGGATATTGATGGATACATTCCCCGAACAAGAATGGCATGTCGTTCCTCCCCGAACAAGGTAATGGTAATGGCATGTCGTTCCTTTATGTGGATATTGCTGGATACATTCCTCGAACATGGTAGGATAGCCTGATATTGTTGCTGTTATTTTAGTCTGTTTTAATTTTAATATTTACATTTTGTTTTTATTCATTTGTTGTAGCATTATCCAGAATCATGTTTTCGCCGTGAAGTGTAATGAGACAGACAACATGCATACACTAGGTCGCACTTGGGGCGTGTGTGTGAAATAATACATAATCGACGTTGGCAATCTATAAAGTGTCTAGATAGAACAGTCATGTTATAAATTCACAATACGTATAAGCAGATCGTGTGCATTTTGTTAGCCTTCAAACTGCATACAAATATGATAAACTAATGAGGATTATAAGACAAAATATAAAGACGTACATTGACTTCGTTATTTTTCAGTCCTAGCAATTTTCACCACTGGCAGATGGTTGAACTTCAAAATGTTTTCATTTGTTATCAAATTAATGAAGATGGAAATATTATCGAGTAATAAAGATTTCCTCTTGGTTGATCAATCTATACTTATACTATCAATTGCGCATGCGGGTAGCGCAGCAGAGGTCACGAACCAGTCAAGAGTTATGGGATATCATCCGGGTACTCACAACAATAACAAAAGCAACAACCAGTCTTGGATCAGTGGCCCATTAAACCTAGTACGCTATCATAAAATGACATCTCTATTCGTGTTTGGAATTGGTAAAAATATCACAATTGATCATTGGATCATAACAACCGTTCAATCATCGAAAATAATTGGTTTGTGTCATTAACCAAATCTTCCTGTTATGTTTGCTAATGCACAATATAATAAAGAACAAATCTCTTCGTGTTTTTTCTGTTTGTTTGTTTGTTTGTTTTGTTGTTGTTGTTGTTTTTTTGGGGGTGGGGTGGGGGTTCTTTTGGGGTATTTTGTTGGGGGTGGGGTTTGGGGTGGTGGTTGTTGTTTTAATCTTTAAGATAAATTCAATCAACACTTGGAACGAGCTCGTGATGCTTATGTATTCGTTGGTTTGGCATTTCTTTTTAACTCGCTGTACGCATGCGTAGAACATGTGAAAAATATTCACTGACAGGCTTCCAATTTGGTCGTATGTTTATCGATAGTGTTAGTGCACTCCAAGTAAAAGCTGTTACGAAAATTATTTACGTTGTGACAACTGTTCATTGTTAATGCCAACAAACGTTCCAGAATTGCTCGATTATGAAAAGACATGATCAATTTCTTGGTCGTTTAGTCATTGCGACAATGTACGTAGCGCCAGGAGCAGGCAATGTGCCTGGATATGTGCGTCATATAAGCGCCCTATATCACGGGCCAGAAACGGTGGCTGTTGTTGTTTAAACGTCGCGTGGACGACGACTATACACAATCCATTGACATGTTGCACACCGACGTGAAGCTGGTTCCCAGGGCCAACTGGTGGTATCATCAGAAGTGACCTGTCTTTAACGGGTTCGAAGACGGGGCGCTTTTAAGCCCGATTTGACCCGATTTACGGCAGTATTTCACGCTGCAGATGCTTGTTATGTTTCGTACATCGACCACAGGGTTTTGTTGTTACTATGGATCGAAAGCCCCGTGTCTTAGCTTTCACGTCATGTGCGACACGTGCGGGTGTCGTCACGTTTTCCCACCCTTAAAGCCCCCCGAAGCTAAGCCCCGTGCGTGTGACGGGAGCCAAAACAGCTCAGATTTCATATCAAAAGGGGTTTGATCTCTGCATCCCGCTTGCACTAATCGTCTCGCACCCGGAGAAAGAAACATATGCACGCATATCATATATGAAAATGTTGCCACGTGGACAAGGCACCTGGGATCGTCACGGGGTCGACGTGGGGCACCGGGTTGGACGTCCACGTCCATTTGGCCATCTGATATAGACATGTCTTTTTACCAAGAAAAGAGCCTTGCTCTGCGATCATCTTTTATACGTCGCGTGGACGACAAATATACGCAACCCATTGTTGCACATCGACGTGAAGCTGGTTCCCAGGGCCAACTGGTGGTATCATCAGAAGTGACCTGTCTTTAACGGGTTCGAAGTCGGGGCGCTTCGAAGCCCGATTTTACCCGATTTACGGCAGTATTTCACGCTGCAGATGCTTGTTATGTTTCGTACATCGACCACAGGCTTTTATTGGTTACTATGGATCGAAAGCCCCGTGTCTTAGCTTTCACGTCATGTGCGACACGTGCGGATGTCGTCACGTTTTCCCACCCTTAAAGCCATCCCAAGCTAAGCCCCGTGCGCTCAGATTTGACTGATCTGTGCGTCCCGTTTGCACTGATTGTCTCACATGCGGATCCCCTTTTGCCACTGCTGTATATAAACACATGGGCCGAAACGACAATTATAGAGTTTTGGAATTACGATAAAATGATGATCTACCGGACAGGGCATGTGCGTTTAAACGTACCTACACATACACTTACGAATGGAAAGCCAGAATTGGGCATTGGCTTTTGACGTCAAGTGGACGCTATCCTTGCCTAACAGTGCAGGTCCCATCCTCATGTGCTGGCTGTGGTCCCAAAAGGTGGCATCCAGACGGCGTCGCAACATCCTCTTTAAGCGCCGATTCGTCTCCTCCACCTTCCGCTTGTAGGCAGAGACCGTCATGTTCCTTGGTTTTACCCTCGGGAACAGACTTCCTATCACTGCTCTGGAGCCCGGCCGTTTCCACCGAAGGTAGTCCAGAAGATCCAGCAAGTCCTCAACCAGGTACTGAGGATCAGTTGACGCCGACACGTCGTTCTCCCACTTGAAAGAAAACAATGCCCTGGAAACCTGCATCAAGGGGCATCCACCACTGCTTTCATCCGAGCGACAGTCGCCCCTCCTATCCCACGCACGGAAGTGATGATGCCACGTGGAGGGGGACAGACTTGATCAAGTCGCCGCACGAAGCTATGTCCCAGGATGGCAAAGTGGACGGGCTTTGAAACAGGACCTTTAAAAAGTGTGTAGGCCATGGCTTGAATGAAGTCTTCAACAATGAGTTGTGTCAAACAATGTTAGCACAAGTGCCGTGATGCTTGTATCTGACTGCTAGGTATATATAGCCCGAGCGATTGAAAAGTGTTTGTATTAAGCTCTGCATTGAGGTCACAGAGTCAATCAATCATTCATGGATTAAGGCCGGTTGGTATCTTAAACCTGACACGACTCACTCATCCCATTCACTTATGCGATTAAACAACCGATCAACGATTGGCGCTTTCAGTCGTAATTCCCGCCACTTGGTTGGCTTCCATGTCTCACTCAGAAACTCTCGGATTAGGCATTACAATCAAAACATCAGAGCAGAGCCTGTGTGCCCCACCACAACAAGTGCCTCTGCAAACGTGACGCCAATGAAGGCTCATTTGAAGACAATGAGGTGAGTAAGAACTCACTATGAAGCTACTTTAGGAATGTAATTGTGTGAAGGTGACCTTTAGTAACAAACAATAAGAATTAAATATCACAAAAAACGTGTCTCCGTTTTCTTCACATGGAAATAAAGACAATACCAAGGCTAAACGTAGCCAAGAAATCGTTTTATTCATCCTTCCAGACAACAT